ATTATTAAAAAGAATGATATTGTCTTCAGTTCCTCTTGCTGTCAAACATACCCAAATACACCGCCACATTCCTTATTCTTTTATCGCCTCTTATGTCTCCACTCACCATTCACACTAAAGGTGGCGGGAGTTGTAGATCTAGTACACATTAGCAGGGGTTCCCTGAGACCTGAACGTTATTTCAAGGGTTCCTCCATGTTAAAGAGGCTTAGAAAACCTGCTCCAAAACAAATCTACTTGAAATCTCACAGCTTTATAAGTAACTTAATCACACAAAAAAAAAAAAAACCTTGCTTTAGTGGGTACTTGAGATAAGCCCAGACCCAGTAGGGGGTACTTGGTAAACATCAGTTGCTAAGATTACTGTTGATAAGTGCAGCTCTAAAACTTTCTGTCCTGCTGCAGAAACTCTTTAAAAACACAATCCCCGCTGTTCAGAAATCTGTGTTCCCCGGTGCACACAACATTGTTCATTTTATATATATAAAACCTAATCCTATTGATACTCTAGCATAATTACATACAAGCGGAATGTTGTCTGGTGTATAGAATACATTTGTACAAGGTTACACAGGTTGAAAAAGGACACAAGTCCATCGAGTTCAATCTATAGATGACGTCACAATCAAATACACAATTTTAATAAAGAAAAATAAAGTTTAATAATAATAATAAAGTTTGATAGAATCTGATGAGACGGAAGAATATGAACTTACCTCTGGATTCCGGTGTTCCCAGATTCTGACTTCTATAGTCCAATCAAGAAGTTGCAGCTCAGATGTGAAGTTTAGTCCAGCAGGATTGTCTTCCAGCCCAGGATCAGCTGTGGTAGTCCACACAGTGCTGAGTTGGGTGACAACCTTCAGAGGGATAGATTGCCCTGTGTCCTTTCTTACTTAGTGACAGTCCAAGTCATTCAGCGGTGTCAGTGCAGCACCCACAGGCTGCCGTATCCAGAGCAGATCCACAGACACAGCACAGAGAGTCTCAAGCAACACCAGCGAGCTGTCTGCTTGTCTCTCTCCAGCTGTAACATTAGCAAAGGGAGGAGGGGAGGGGCCACAGGACACCAGGGCACGCCCCCCTTCCCTGATCACAGCCTACCCACACTCATTCATGGCTCCAGTAGGACTGCCCCTTGAAGGCTGCAGTGTTTACTGCCTGGATCTCAGTGTGCTGTGATAAGAGATACAAATGTATAATTGAAGCGCCGAGGAGGATAAATAACAGTCTGCTGTGTTGTGAATAAATTGAAGGAAATGATTTTGATTCACGGCATCCCCTGGGGGAGAAAGCCGCAGAGCCATTGTCGCTCTTCTATCCAGCCTTCCACCTTGTAGATTGTAAGCTCTTCTGTACCTGATAGTCCTCCGCAATGCTTCTTGTATGTAAACCCAATTATTGGGGGGAATTTATCAAAACCGGGGCAGACAAAATCTGGAGCAGTTGCCCTTAGTAATCAATCAGCTTCACGCTTCAGTTTGTTCAGTTAAGATTTGAAAATTAAAGAGGGAAGCCGATTGGCTGCCATGCACAGCTCGCCCAAATGCTCCGATGCCTAGCCCTATACTTGAGCTTCTGGTATCAGCAAGCCGGGCAGCAAGTCATTACACGGTGCCCGGCTTCCTGATTGGTCGAGAAGCTGGCCAAGCAGGAAGCCGAGCAACGCGTCATTACACGGCGCCGGGAGCATGGAGCCGGCTTCCCGGCCAATCGGGAACCCGGGCAGCATGCCATTACATGCCCCCCAGCATACTGATTGGCCAGAAAGCGAGCTTCATGCTCCCTCATCACCAGATGATGAGGGAGCATGGAGCCAGCTCCCCGGCCAATATGGAAGCCAGGCGCCGGGTAATGACGCGTTGCCCGGTTTCCTGATTGGCCAGCTTCTCGACCAATCAGGAAGCCGGGCAATGCGTCATTACAGCCAGAAAGCCGGTTCCATGCTCCCTTGTCACCTGGTGACGAGGTAACATGGAGACAGTTTCCCTGCTAATCGGGAAGCCAGGTGGTAAGTTATTACACGCCGCCTGGCCTCCTCAATGGGACTTCCAGTATCGGTATTCGGTATCGGCGAGTACTGCCGGAAAAAAATATATCGGTAATCGTACTCGATACCGAAAAAAACGGTATCGGTGCATCGCTAATGAAGATTATGCAGGGAGGTGAAGGGAGGGGTAGATGAGCTGGGCCAGCACAGATAGTATTTAGACACTCCCAGAAAAGGAGGGGGCTATATTGTGCATGGTAGGATGGGGGTCTAGGCTAGGGAATGGACCCTTCCTGGAGCAGCCTTACTTTCTAGCAAGTCCAGAGGCACATTGCAAGCGTATAAAAAATAATTTACGGAGACGTAAAAATGCATTAAAAATACTTTTCAGGGTGTCTTTAAGTTCAACTCGGTTCCATTTCCAAGAGAGAGAATGGATACAGCATGCACAGGTTCACGTTAAACCACCACAAGTTACCCCCGGACACGAAAGGGTTAAGCGACATAAGAAGACCGCCTTCTTTAATAAGCGCCACATGACGACTCAATCAAATTTCCTGTGTTTTTCTTATATGGATGAATTGTGTGACCCCGGATCACCCGATATGTGGCAGCTAGGAGCCTTCCTTCCGATCCTCGGCGCCTCATAATGCCCCCTATTGTCACTCACTCTCTCAAAGACAAACCGAAATGTCACTCTCTGCGTCGCGGCGTTCCTTTATTGTAGTCTGCCGAGGGGCCCCTTTATGATCCGCCTGCCTTTCAAAACGCCTTCTGTTCTCAGTTGTCTGTTCTGGCACCACTTTGCCAGGTGCCTGCGGCGCTACGTTCTCTGCACCGACACAACGCACCTGCCATAGGTATCATGAAGAAGTACAGGGTGTTGTGGGGTAGATGGGAAAGTGACTGATCATTCCAACCATCTATACCTCTTACCCTTCCATGTCTATGCTTCTTGCAGGTAAAGAATGCATACCTATGGGAGGGACCCAGAAGGCACCACCCACTACAGGCTGCCTGCAGAAAATTACAGGAGGGGGCGGAGACAAGACCAGTCACCCTGCACAAGGAGAGAGAGCAGCAGTAAACTGGCTTTTCTACAGGCGGGGGCGGAGACAAGACCAGTCACCACGCATATAGGGAGAGAGCAAAAGTCACTGGTCTTTATTACAGGAGGGGGCGGAGACAGGACCAGTCACCCTGCACAAGGAGAGAGTGAAGCAGTGACCGGTCTTTATTACAGGAAGGGGCAGAGAGAAGATCAGTCATCCTGCACAAGGAGAGAGAGCAGCAGTGAGCAATTTTTATTACAGAAGGGGGCGGAGACAAGACCAGTCATCCTGTACAAGAATAGAGAGCAGCAGTGACCGGTCTTTATTACAGGAGGGGGCAGAGACAAGACCAGTCACCCTGCACAAGGAGAGAGCAGCAGTGACCGGTCTCTATTACAGGAGGGGGCAGAGACAAGACCAGTCACTCTGCACAAGGAGAGAGCAGCGGCCACCGGTCTCTATTACAGGAGGGGGCGGAGACAAGACCAGTCACCCTGCACAAGGAGAGAGCAGCAGTGACCGGTCTCTATTACAGGAGGGGGCGGAGACAAGACCAGTCATCCTGTACAAGAATATAGAGCAGCAGTGACCGGTCTTTATTACAGGAGGCTCTAAGTTTGCACAGATCTGGAAGAAATACACAAAGCTCACCAAGACTCAGGAAGAACGCACACATGACTCTTGTATGAGGACAATGTCTGCTGATCCCGGAGTTCATCCAGAATTATTACATTTTAAAACAACAACTTGGCAGAGCAAAGCAGAATTACAAAATGACAAATGTTTTTATTTAAAGAAGCAGAAACAGCTCAGGCGGGCTATATACATATTGTCCTTCCTGAGGTCATTTAAGTACTGCCACCCATATCCAGACAAAGCGTCATGGTCATCCTCCGTTTTCGCAATGCATAGACCGTGTGAACGAGGCAAGGTGCGCAATTCTCTGCAGCCATCAGAGAGAAAAGGGCAAGTTTTTTTTTTTGTCTTTTTTGTTGTTGTGTGTGTGGCCCTGCCAAACCTTCCCTCCGCCTCGCACTTTTATTTTTCTTGCCTGGTTCCCATGGCAACGTCAACTTTCATCTACAATGTCGACCCAAAGCCATTTTCTAAACAATCTCGAGGGCTTCGCAAACAAGATCTCAGAGGTGGCCGGAGAGGAGGGACCCCGCAGGAAGCCGGCTTAGCTTATTCTGTGTGCCAGGATACCACTTTAAAAGGCTGGGGGTGGGGCATTTATTAACTCTTACTGTACCAAACGTAGGCCGGTGCCGCCTTGCAAAAAAGCTGGACCTGGAGAACCCAGCAGGTAGAGCAGAAATAAGACACCCGACATACACAACGCAATTCATATGCATTAGCATCTCATACCATTAGGGCCAATGCACACTTCTCTGCTTCTGTGTGTCATGTTAACGTTGGCGTACGTTGCTTTAAGACAACTCATTCACTTTACATGTGCTGCTAATGCACTAGAATAGACCATTTTTCGCATGCAGCGTGCCACAGTCTTGCACCGTTATCTTGCTTTATGGTGCACCTCAATGCATGTGCATCGGAGCTGCATTGTCCTAGTGTATAGTGGTGGCAGTTAAAATGATTGACACCGCAACGATGCATGTAACATACGCTAGGCATCGCTCAGATGGGCGGCAAAGGGGACTGTAAAAACAGGTGGTTGATTCATGTTTTTACTGCCCCCAACCTCCCTCCTAAAATATAAAATAGCACCTGCTGAGGCTTGTACACATGCCACAGCAAATTTTAAACAGCATTTTACGTTCAGCAGTCAGTGCCGCCTTCCAAATGCAGCTATTGCAATCAATGGCATTACCCCAGATTGGTTACGGTGTTCTATCGAAAGTTCCAACTCGTTGAGATCTCCAACGACCTGACTTCCGGTTTAGTTAGAAGTAAGAGGTTTGGCCCGAGAAGGCTCTACTGCACGTGCGCCACCCGCGGCATTTCCCTATACACGTACTACACAGCAATAACGTATTATAATGAACTAGGGTCAGACTAATCCAGCAGGTTATTCATCTGAGTTGCCCCACTCAATATGGCCACCGCTTGCGGCCATAGGCCACAGAATGCCACAGCCTTCTCGGCCAAACTTCTTACTTCTAACTAAACCGGAAGTCAGGTCGTTGGGGATCTTGACGAGTTGTAACTTTCGATAGAACTGCGGCAAAGAATTGCAATTGAAATTCCATATTGGGATAAAAAAAAATAAAAAAATGGCCATTCAGGAGGGCTTATGGTAACGTACATGTCACCCCAACGCACCAAATCGCAAAAGTTTGTTTTGGCCCGGGTAGAGCCAGTAAGTGCCTGAAAGAGGCCAGAAGAGACCAGCAGCACTGAGATTGGAAACAGGATTTTAAAAAACAGGTGAAAAGTATATTTTCTCATAAAATAAAAGACAATTGTTTATAGGGATGCAAAGATACTGATACCAGTGTTGGTGCCAATACCAGCAGTACTGGTACTTGTGCAAATGCTCTGATACCAAAAAGATACTGGCACTGAAATTATTCAAATTGAAGTGGTTGCCTTAAGTCCCATGCTTGCTTGGGACCTCGCGGCTGCCTTCTTGGGAACCACACAGCCCCTGCTTACAGTGCTCCTGCTGGCTCACACATCTTCTCCTCCTCAGACCCTCAGTATCTTCCCCTCCTGACACCCTCCACCTAAGACATCAGGCCCGGCACCCTGTAGCAGAGCGGCAGCAGTATGCAGTAAAAGATATTCTATT